GCTGGCTAGATCGTCGGGCTCAACGGGTAGTGATCAATGGCTCCATGTCTAGTTGGCAGCCGGTTTCAAGCGGAGTGCCCCAAGGGTTGGTTCTGGGGCCGGTTTTGTTTAATATCTTTATTAATGATCTGGAGGATGGTGTGGACTGCACTCTCAGCAAGTTTGCAGATGACACTAAACTGGGAGGCGTGGTAGATACACTAGAGGGTAGGGATCGGATACAGTGGGACCTAGACAAATTAGAGGATTGGGCCAAAAAAAACCTGATGAGGTTCAACAAGGACGAAGTGCAGAGTCCTGCACTTAGGACGGAAGAATCCCATGCACTGCTACAGACTAGGGACCGAATGGCTGGGTAGCAGTTCTGCAGAAAAGGACCTAGAGGTCACAGTGGACGAGAAGCTGGATATGAGTCAACAGTGTGCTCTTGTTGCCAAGAAGGCTAACGGCATTTTGGGCTGTATTGCATTTAGGGGCATTGCCAGCAGATCAAGGAACGTGATCGTTCCCCTTTATTCAACATTGGTGAGGCCTCATCTGGAATACTGTGTCCAGTTTTGGGCCCCACACTACAAGAAGGATGTGGAAAAATTGGAAAGAGTCCAGCGGAGGGCAACAAAAATCATTAGCAACAGAGGGTCCTGTGGCACCTTTGAGACTAACAGAAGTATTGGGAGCATAAGCTTTCGTGGGTAAGAACCTCACTTCTTCAGATGCAAGTAATGGAAATCTCTAGAGGCAGGTATAAATCAGTGTGGAGATAACGAGGTTAGTTCTATCAGGGAGGGTGAGGTGCTCTGCTAGCAGTTGAGGTGTGAACACCAAGGGAGGAGAAACTGCTTCTGTAGTTGGATAGCCATTCACAGTCTTTGTTTAATCCTGATCTGATGGTGTCAAATTTGCAAATGAACTGGAGCTCAGCAGTTTCTCTTTGGAGTCTGGTCCTGAAGTTTTTTTGCTGTAAGATGGCTACCTTTACATCTGCTATTGTGTGGCCAGGGAGGTTGAAGTGTTCTCCTACAGGTTTTTGTATATTGCCATTCCTGATATCTGACTTGTGTCCATTTATCCTCTTGCGTAGTGACTGTCCAGTTTGGCCAATGTACATAGCAGAGGGGCATTGCTGGCATATGATGGCATATATAACATTGGTGGACGTGCAGGTGAATGAGCCGGTGATGTTGTAGCTGATCTGGTTAGGTCCTGTGATGGTGTTGCTGGTGTAGATATGTGGGCAGAGTTGGCATCGAGGTTTGTTGCATGGGTTGGTTCCTGAGTTAGAGTTGTTATGGTGCGGTGCGTGGTTGCTGGTGAGAATATGCTTAAGGTTGGCAGGTTGTCTGTGGGCGAGGACTGGCCTGCCTCCCAAGGTCTGTGAAAGTGAGGGATCATTGTCCAGGATGGGTTGTAGATCACTGATGATGCGTTGGAGAGGTTTAAGCTGAGGACTGTAGGTGATGGCCAGTGGAGTTCTGTTGGTTTCTCTTCTGGGCCTGTCTTGTAGCAGGAGGCTTCTGGGTACACGTCTGGCTCTGTTGATTTGTTTCTTTATTTCCTTGTGTGGGTATCGTAGTTTTGCGAATGCTTGGTGAAGATCTTGTAGGTGTTGGTCTCTGTCTGAGGGGTTGGAGCAGATGCGATTGTACCTCAGTGCTTGGCTGTAGACGATGGATCGTGTGGTGTGACCGGGGTGGAAGCTGGAGGCATGAAGGTAGGCATAGCGGTCGGTGGGTTTTCGGTATAGGGTGGTGTTAATGTGGCCATCGCTTATTTGTACGGTGGTTAAAAATCGCTTATTTGTACGGTGGTTAAAAATGATTAGGGGTCTGGAGCACATGACTTATGAGGAGAGGCTGAGGGAACTGGGATTGTTTAGTCTGCAGAAGAGAAGAATGAGGGGGGATTTGATAGCTGCTTTCAACTACCTGAGGCGGGGTTCCAAAGAGGATGGAGCTCGGCTGCTCTCAGTGGTGGCAGATGACAGAACAAGGAGAAATGGTCTCAAGTTGCAGTGGGGGAGGTCTAGGTTGGATATTAGGAAAAACTTTTTCATTAGGAGGTTGGTGAAGCATTGGAATGCGTTACCTAGGGAGGTGGTGGAGTCTCCTTCTTTGGAGGTTTTTAAGGCCCGGCTTGACAAAGCCCTGGCTGGGATGATTTAGTTGGGAATTGGTCTTGCTTTGAGCAGGGGGTTGGACTAGATGACCTCCTGAGGTCCCTTACAACCCTGATATTCTATGATTCTATGAGTGGCACCTGTATATCGCACCATAAAGGGGGCTGCGCGCTCCCCCCACCCTCAGTTCCTTCTTGCCAGACAACTCCGACGGAGGGGAAGGAGGGCGGGATGTGGAATGGACATGAGCAACACATCTTGAAGAACACCAGTTATGGAAAAGGTAACCGTCTTTTCTTCTTTGAGTGATTGCTCATGTGCATTCCACAATAGATGATTCCAAGCTATATCTGTTGGAGGAGGGTAGGAGTTCAAGACATTCAGGACAGAGCACTGCCTTGCCGAACCCGGCGTCCTCCCTGGTCTGGGAGATGATCGCATAATGCGAGGTGAACGTGTGGATCGATGACCTACAAATGTCCTGAATAGGGATGTGAGCCAGAAAGGCAGCTGACGAGGCTTGCACCCTTGTCAAGTGCGCCCTCACAATCAGCGGCGGGGGAACTCCCGCCAGGTCATAACAAGTACGGATACATGAAGTGATCCAGCTGGAGAGAAGCTGAGTGGAGAGCAACCGACCTTTCATGTGTTCGGCCGTGGCGACTAATAGCTGCGAAGACTTCCTGAACAGTTTTGTCTGTTCCAGGTAAAAAGCCAGGGCCCATCTCACATCGAGCATGTGGAGATGGCGCTCCTCACTAGACATGTGGGGCTTGGGACAGTGCACCGGAAGGAAAATGTCCTGGCTCATATGACAGGCAGAGACCACCTTAGGGAGGAACGAAGGGTGTGGACGGAGCTGGACCTTATCTTTATGAAATACCGTGTACTGGGGTTTGGCACTCAGGGCCCGGAGCTCCGAGACCCTCCTAGCAGATGTGATTGCCACAAGAAAGGCTACTTTCCATGAAAGGTGGGACCAGGCGCACGTAGCAAGTAGCTCAAATGGAGGCCCTGTCAGCCTGGCCAGAATCAAGTTCAGGTCCCACTGTGGGACCGGGGGTCTAACGTAAGGAATGAGGCGATCCAAGCCCTTAAGGAATTGACCGGTCATGGCCTGAGAAAATACGGTGTGGCCCTGGACTGGCAGGTGGAAGGCCGATATGGCTACCAGATGCACTTTGACCAGGGTGACCAGCTGTCCCAATTTTATAGGGACAGTCCCAATTTTTGGGTCTTTTTCTTATATAGGCTCCTATTACCCCCCCCACCCCCACACCCTGTCCCGATTTTTCACACTTGCTGTCTGGTCACCCTAAGTTTGACGGACGAGGGCACTAGGCCTTGGGCTGTAAGATGAAGGAGGTAGGGTGACCAGATGTCCCGATTTTATAGGGACAGTCCCAATTTTTGGGTCTTTTTCTTATATAGGCTCCTATTACCCCCCCACTCCCTGTCCTGATTTTTCACACTTGCTGTCTGGTCACCCTAGAAGGAGGTAATCCAGTATAAGCTGGAGTGGGGCAGCCACTGGCAAGACGCCGCAATCAGCAGCCCACTGGGAGAACCTTGACCATTTTGCCAGGTATGCCTGACGCGTGGAGGGCCTCCTGCTTTCCAGGAGTTCTCGCTGGATGCCCTCCGAGCAGGTCCTCTCCTCGTGGCCTAGCCATTGAGCAATCACGCCGTGAGGTTGAGGGCTGCTAGGCTGGGATGGAGGAGGCGACCTTGGTCCTGAGAGAGAGAAGGTCTGGGTGGGTCAGCAGCGGCCACTGGGGGGTAATGGACAGGCTCGTAAGAGTCCCATAACAAGTGCTGCCTTGGCCATGCTGGGGCGATCATGAGGACACGAGCCTTGTCCGTCTTCACTTTTTCCAGACCTTGCTGATCAGTGGGATTGGGGGAAAAGCATATAGAAGCTGACCTGACCAGGACAGAAAGAAGGCATCAGAGATTGTGCCCTTTCCAGGCCCCTCCTAGGGCAGAACCGAGGGCACAGGCAGTTCAGTCTGGTCGCAAAGAGGTCCACTTGGGGAGTGCCCCACTTTCGGAAGATCATGTGAGCCACCTCTGGGTGCAGCGACCATTCATGTTGGGACACCAATTCTATTGTTGGGGGGCAGCTCCTGAATAGGACCCCTCAGAGCATGTTCTCCGGGGTGGACCACCAACGGAGGGAGGCTAGAATGGGCTCGGGTACAGGTGAAGACTTTGTCCAGCCTGTCTCTGGACTGGGAGAACGTCGAGGTCAGCCAGAGCTGAAGGGGCCGCATCCTGAGTCGGGTGTGACGTATCACATACGTGCACCCTGACATGTGACCCAGGAGCTGGAGGCACACCCTGGCAGTTGTCACAGGAAACCTTGTGATCCCCTTGATGAGCTCCCTCAAGGTTTTGAACCTGTCCGGTGGGAGGGAAGCTCTGGCTGATCTCGCGTCGAGAATCGTGCCAATGAACTCTATACGTTGCACCAGTACCAATGTGGATTTGGTGTTGTTCACCAGCAGCCCCAGTGTGGTGCATGTGGACAGGAGTGTTATGTGGGGCTGTACCTGTGATCTGGAGCTGCCTTTGACCAGCCAGTCATCAAGGTAGGGGAAGATCTGGACTCCCCAACACCTGAGGTAGGCCGCCACCACAGACATACACTTTGTGAAGACTCTGGGTGTTGTGGAGAGGCCAAACAGGAGGAGGATGAACTGGTAGTGTTCCTGTCCTACCGTGAAGTGGAGGAAACGCCTGTGGCCCTCGAATATGTGAATGTGGAAGTATGCATCTTGGAGATTGAGGGCGGCATACCAGTCTCTGGGATCCAGGGAGGGAATGATGGAGGCCAGGGAGACCATGTGGAACTTGAGTTTTACCATGTACTGGTTTAGGCCTTGCAGGTCCAAGATGGGCCTGAGGCCCCCTTTGACCTTCGGGATAAGGAAATAGCGGGAGTAGTATCCTTTTCATCTGAACGCCACAGGCACCACCTCCACCGCTCCTAGGTGAAGGAGCCGCCTCACCTCCTGCTCAAGTAGGCTCTCATGAGAGGGGTCCCTGAAAAGGGATGGGGAGGGAGGGTGGGTAGGTGGGGTAGAGAGAAACTGGAGGGTATAGCCCCGGGAGACGGTATTGAGGACCCATCGGTCTGAGGTCAGTATCGAGCACTCTGGGAGGAAAGTACATAGGTGGTTGGAGAAGGGTAGGTCGGGTGGATCCCTGGTGCAGACTGGTAGGTCGTCCCTGGGTGTCCCATCAAAACTGGCGCTTACCCGCCTGCTTGCCCTTAGAGGGGCCAGACTGGGGTGCAGGTTGAGCCTGTCGCTTCTTATAATCCCTGGATTTTTTAAATTAGGAGGCTTGTATCTGGAGTGGGTGAGCTGGCTGGGGGCCTGCTGAGGCTTAAACTTGGCCAGGGCCAGGACATAGACTCATAGACTCATAGACTTTAAGGTCAGAAGGGACCATTATGGTCATCTAGTCTGACCTCCCGCATGATGCAGGCCACAAAAGCTGACCCACCCAATTTCCCTTATCTCAGCTGTTGAAGTCTCCAGATCGTGATTTAAAGACTTCAAGTCGCAGAGAATCCTCCAGCTTGCGACCCCTGCCCTATGCTGCGGAGGAAGGCAAAAAACCTCCAGGGCCTCTGCCAATCTACCCTGGAGGAAAATTCCTTCCCGACCCCAAATATGGCGATCAGTAGAACCCCGAGCATGCGGGCAAGATTCTCCAGCCGGACCCACATTTTACCAGCGATGGCACGTTATTGCCTAATTGACTAAAATCACGTTATCCCATCAAACCATTCCCTCCATAAACTTATCTAGCCTAATCTTGAAGCCAGAGAGGTCTTTCGCCCCCACCGTTTCCCTCGGAAGGCTGTTCCAGAATTTCACCCCTCTGACGGTTAGAAACCTTCGTCTAATTTCAAGCCTAAAATAGAGACCAAGAGTCTTTAAGGTCGGCGAGAGTCCTTGAGACTGTGTAATTTCATGTCTGTTAGCTCCGCGAACAGGGCCTTGCCATGGAAGGGGAGGTCCTGCAGGGAGCTCTGTGCCTCGATGGACAACCTGGACAAGAGGAGCCACGATGCCCTCCTCATGGACACCGCAGAGGTCATAGTTCTTGCAGCCATGTCCGCTGCGTCCGAGGCTGCCTGAAGGGCCACCCTGGCAGAAGCAGTGCCCTCCTCCACCAGGGCCTTATACTCCTTCCTATCATGCTCCTGGAGGGAGTCCGTAAACTTTGGCATTGAGCCCCATAAATTAAAGTCGTATCTGCCTAGCAGGGCTTGGTGGTTTGCCACCCTCAGTTGGAAGCTCGAGGAAGAATAAAGCTTTCTACCAAACAGGTCCAGCCTCCTCGAGTCCTTATTCTTAAGGGTGGGAGCAGGTTGGCCTTGACACTCCTTGTGGTTGACCACCTTGACCACTAGGGAGTTGGGGGCGGGGTGAGTGTATAGATATTCATGCCTCTTGGAGGGCACGAAATACTTCCGCTCTGCCCTCTTAGATATGGGGGGCAAGGAAGACGGGGTCTGCCACAGGGTATTGGGGATCTTTGCCACCCCTTTGTGGAGCTGGAGGGCCACCCTGGCCAGCGCTGTGGCTGAGAGGACATCAAAGAGGGAGTCCGAAGGCTCCTCCACCTCTTCAGCCTGTAGATTGAGGCTTGCCAACCTTTTCAAGAGCTCTTGGTGGGCTTTTGTGTCCTCCTGGGGAACAGGAGGAGGAGGTGCCATGATGGCCTCATCAGGGGAGGATGAGGATGGGGGCGCAGTGCTCTGCATCCCCACCAGTGCCGCAGATCCCAACGCTTGTCCCCTTCTGAGCACGGAGCTGGGGAAGAACGCTCCGCTGACCCCTTCGTGGGAGGTTGAGAGAGGGAAGCCGATGGTATTTCTGAGTCCCTGGCCACCGAGTGAGCTACCACCAGGGGCTGTGTTGGGGTGGGATGTCCCACCTGAATCGCTTGATCCGCTGGCTGCTGGCTCCAAAGGGAAGCTGGGCTGGCATACAAGCCACCGCTATCCCGGGATGGGGATGAGTAACGGCGTCGTGAGTGGTGCCAGGCTCGATACCTTGAGTCTGGTGTAGAGGAGCAGGAGTACCGTCTATAACAGCTGCTCCGCAAATGGCTCCATCGGGCAGATTCGCAACAGCTGGTTGCCAGCGATCTACGCCTGGAGCTGTGGGAGCGGGTGCCGTGCCGGGAACCTCGCCCTGGATGAAGAGAGTGAGCAGCGTCTACATTGGTACCACGAGGGGTTACGGTGGCTTCTCTGAGTCAGCGACCTCTGGTGCCATTGGTCCCAGTCCCGGTGAGGCATGCTCTGACCTCAAGGCCTGCGCTCCCTTGACGCGGAGTGGTGCCTCGATTCCCTGCTGCTCCCCAGCCAGACCACCTGCGCGGGCGTGAGCGTGGTGATCACTCTGTGGAGAACAGCGTCGGGAACCTTCCCTCAACTGTGAGTGGTACCGCCCGGGTGGTGACTGTGGTGGTCCGAGTGCCGGCTTGCCTCTGGACCGGGGAGCTGCTGGGGTCAGTGCAGTCGGTTCTGGGAGAGACATTACATCTCGAGCTGCCTGCAGGGCCTCCGGCATGGAGGGCACCCGTATGTGGCCACTGGCATCCAGGGAGGCCAGCTCAGAGTGGGCTGGGCTACTCTGCTTTACTTGAGTTGGAGGCCATGAGGTTGAGGGGGATCGAGAGCTGCCCAACACGGGTCTAGTCTCACCCCCAGCCTTGCCCTGGTGCCTTGACGGAGAAGATCACTTCTTTGTCTTCTTAGAGTGTCCCGTGGATGGGGAGTGGTGCCAGCTGGTAGAAGGCACCACGGGTCACCGCACACCGGTGTTCGGTGCCAATTCAGAGCGGTGTAGCGGTGTCAGGGTCAGGGCCGACTCCATCAATATGGCTCAGAGCCATATGTCCCGCTCCTTCTTACTCCGAGGCTTGAAAGATCTGCAAATTTTGCAGCGGTCACTGACGTGGGGTTTCCCAAGACAGCCGAAGCAGCTAGTGTGCGGATCACTTATGGGCATAGGCCGTTTATGAGGGTCGCATGACTTAAAGCCCGGGGTGTGGGGCATGCCCCAACCCGGGTGCGCTTCTCTACTCTATCTATATAACTTTTTTTTTTTTTAAGTACAGGTACTAAGTATCTACGAACTAAACAACAGTCCAAACAGGGAAAGCTACAGCAGAGCACTGGAGCACAGCAGTTCAGAAGCACCTTCACTGGTGGCAAGAAGGAACTGAAGGTGGGGGGAGCGTGCAGCATCCCTTATACTGCGCCATGGTGGCGCCACTCTAGGGATCGCTAGGGGCGCTCCTCTATGGGTACTGCTAGCGGAAAAACGTCTGGCACAGTGCACGTGGCGAGCACGCACACCTATTCCACAATAGGTGCTCAGTGCACATGAGCAATCACTCAAATAAGAAATATGCCTTACACTCTTCCTCAGCCTCCATCTGTAGGTAGGCCTGTGACAAAGCAATTTTGCTAAATTTTTGCCAGTGTAGCAAAAATATCTTCAATTTGAGACAGGGTGTATTTTTCAACTTTCAGTACAGGGTTTATGGTGACCTTAAAATCTCCACACACCCTTACTGCACTACATTTTGTTACAGTTGGAACAATAGGAGTTCTCCACCCACTCCAAGACTCTTTTGAAAGTATGCCTTCCCTTTCCAGATGTTTCAGTTCAGTGTCTACCTTCGAGTGGACACTGTGCGGGGCAGGTTGAGCTTTGTCAAACTTGGGCTGCACCTTCTCAGCTAGGATTATTTTAACCTTCATAAGTTTTAGAGTTCCTATGCCCTCCTGGAATACTCACAATGCCTGACATAGTGTCCCTTTCAGTGGTTGTTTGACTGTTTTAGTGGACTCTACTGAAAGTGACTACAGCATGTTTATAGAGTCCTAATCCAGAGGAATCTTAGGTAACCATTCACGTCCCCACAGAGCCAGTCCCCGCTTCTCAACAACATACAAGTCTAAAAAACACTGCTTATTGTTATACTCCAGATTTACTTGCATCACTCCGGTTGGCACTATTTTTTCTCCCATATATTTTTAGTAATATCAGTGGCCCCTTCAGTTTGGTATTTAGAAAAGTTTTCTCATATTCTGAACATGAGATAACAGACATGGCAGAGCTAGCATTCAATTCCATTCTGAGCATTTTCCCACCACCCAGGGTTTCAACCAGATTGCTGACTTTTCATTTTTGTTCACCCTATATACATCCAGGCTGGCCACTCCACTCTCAGTGTCACTACTGCCTCTGGCTACGGAATGTTCAGTGATATTCCTTTTTCTGTATTCTGATTGGGTCTCTTCCTTATTTCTCTTAGTGTGACAAATTACTTGGATTTGACTTTTTTTATTACAGCAGCTACAATCTGCATCTTTGAATTGGCAATCAAAAGAAGTGTGGAACTCTTTTCCACGGTGAAAACATGAGTCTGTCTGCCAAGCGGACCGGCTCTTGCTTTGAGTTACAGATAGTTTATGCATTCTTACTTCAGTTTTAGTGCTGGTATGCAATTCTATTGCATCTCTTTCTGCAGTTTTCATTGCTACTCCAATTTCTACTGCCCTTTTAAAGGTAAAATTTCCCTCAGGTGAGAGCCTCTTCTGTATGCTTTCATTAAGCAGTCCACACACAAATTTGTCTCTTAGGGCCTTGTTAAGCCCATCCTTAAAAGCACAGTGTTCTGATAATCTTTTTAATGCAGTCTCAAAAGAAGAAACAGATTCACCTTCAAGCTGATTCTGCTTATGAAACCTGAAACTTTCTGCTGTAATCAGGGTCTTGGGTGACAGGTGCTCTTGAACAATCTGCACTCTCTCTTTTAAGGTTTGGCTGGCTGGCTTCTCTGGGGTGATCAGACTGCGTACTAAACTGTAGGTTTTTCCCCCAGCCCACTCAGTAAAGCTGCTACATGTTTTTCTGGGGAATCTCATTTACTTCAAAATACTGCTCCAGCCTCGCTGTATATGAGGGCCAGTGCTCCATGGCACTGTCGAAGGCCTCCATTTGTCCACTATAGCTGTCATGTCAGCTCGCTGCTGTTAGGTTAGTTGTTCAGAGTACTCACAGTTGTAGCAGGCTCCTCTTTCCCACCAGGACTGCAAGCAATGTCACCCATTGTTTCGCTAGTCAGATGCACAGAGGGTTCTTGAAATCCTCCTCAGCAATTGTTGTGTCTTATTCTCTCTTGCTGCAGATTAAGACAATTACTTTTTGTCCTCCCTTCAGTGGACATGGAGAAGAGGAAGTTACTCACTTTGTGCAATAACGATGGTTCTTCAAGATGTGTCTCCCTATGGGTGCTCCCCTGTAGGAATATCTGTGCCCCTGCACCTCTAATCAGAGATTTTTGGTGGCAGCCTCCGTTGAGACCGCACATGCGCTCTCCCTCCCTTATGGTCTGCCTCGAGGCTATCTAGCACTGCATGGGCAAACTGCCCCCACTCAGTTCCTTCTCTACCACAGAGCCCTATGGAGAACTCAGAACTCAGAGGGGAGGAGGGTGGGTTGTGGAGCACCCACAGGGGACACACATCTCGAAGAACCATTGTTACTGCACAAGGTGAGTAACTTCCTCTTCTTCTTTGAGTAGTGTCCCTATTGGTGCTCTATTGTAGGGGACTCCCAAGCAGTACCCACCACTGGAGGCTGGGACTTCAGAGTGGAGTCTGTTACCACAGAGAGTACTGGAGTCGAAGATGGCATCAGAGGCTGAATTTCCAGTGATCGCATAATATTCTGCAAAAGTGTGGGCAGAGCCCAAGTCACTGCTTTGCAGATTTCCAAGATAGGGACATCTTTAAGGAATGTGACTGAGGTAGAGATTGACCTCGTGGAGTGCATATGGACTCTGGATGGAGGCAGCAGGTTGCACCCTTGATAACAGTGATTAATGCAACCAGAGACCCATTTGAATAGTGTTTGAGCCATTTTGTGCAGTGTTTGGCTCTTTCTGTGAGCTAAAGGAAGAGCTTAGGAGACATCCTGAAGTCCTTAGTCCTGTCCAAGTAGAATGCTATTGCTCTTCTAACATCTAGCATATGCAGAATTGCCTCCCTGATGTCACAATGTGGTTTTGGGGAAAAAACAGGAAGATGGATGCTGATTCATATGGAAAGTGGAGGTAACTTTAGGGAGAAACTTGGGATGCGGCCTCAGAGTTATTTTATTTTGATAAAAGACTGTGCATGGTGGTGTGACGGTCGGTGCCCCCCATAAGGCTTTATGGAAATATGCTTATGAATATATATAACATAACTGAAATATGTTCTATGCCACATATGCCATGTAACATGTCTACGTAAAGGTTATGATCTACTGAATCTATTAATCCTATTTGTATGCATGTATCATTTTTGTATTCAAAGTTATGAATATTGGCTGCATACTTGTTTCATTCTAAGCAGGCTGTAGTGAAGCAGTTGGTCAGCTTCCTGAGAAAAAACTATTCTCAGTAAGTGCCCAATCAAAAAACACTTAAGCCAACAATGAACTTGGACACACCAATCCACAACTGGGCTTTCCCAGGAATGTGGCTTGGCTGGTAAGAAACTCAGTCATGCATGGACATGTGACTTGCCCAGGTGACTCCAAAACTCCATTTTGTAGCTGAACTTTGCATAAGAGAGAGGAGGGTGTCTCCACCCACAAAAGAAAGTCTATTTAAGCCCGTGGGAGACCCCTCCATTTGGTCTTCAGCTGGCTAAAGAGAGAGCCTCTCCACCCCCAAAGATACCTAAAAAAAACCCTGAAACAAAGGACAGTGATTGCAAGGGGTGTGAGTGATTGCTGGACCCAGACTAAAAGAAGATTAGTCTGTAAAAGGAAGCATTCTGAAACTGGTGAGAATTTTAT